AACGTCTATAAACCGACAGTTGACTTCTCACTTCAAGCTACCATGACCCAACTGTGTCGTACTCGACTATTTCCACAGTACTCACCTCACCTTTTCTCTGCCCTTGCGTTTGTCTGTCTCTTTTACATCTGTGAAGCACTCTTCTGTTTCACCCCCCCCCCCTCTCGACTTTTTTTCACTTTGATGTTCCTTCCCCTCTGTTAAGCCAGGAGTCAACTAAAGGGCTAATGATAACAATCAAAACGCCTGCCATTTGATATAAATATTTATGAAATTACTGCCTGTGTGTGATGCGAAAATAAAATACATTCGACCCAACTGGCTATCGAGATATCACCATAAAACGCTAAGTAGAGAGGGGATACAAAAAGGGCCATTCTAGGAGTCAAATAAAGTGGATTCTTTGACCGCTACCATCACATTTTTTAAAACAATCGTTTTCAGCAATATCTACATCTCACGATGTAGATGATAATTAAAAATTTGTAAGGCTGCTTTACTTCGCAATAACTAATGAAAAATTGTTCAACATTCATTCCCAAATTTGAAAGGAGAACTACGATAAGGACATTCCAGGAAAACACAATTTTATCGACTCAATGTAAGTAAAATTTTACTTAAATCCATTCCATGCAGATAAAAAAGCTTGTTGAAAGAATATTCTGCTAAAAAATTGAATTAACTTCTTCATCATCTCTCAAAACATCTCGCCTTACAATATGTGACGTAATAAACCAAAGCACATACTTCCCCATCTAATTGCCAGAAGGACAACTATTGCAAAAGAGAAGTGTGATACAAAGACCTTATCTACTGCAATGCATCAAATCATTTTAGATTTATAAATTTGAGCACCAAACTATACAGCCTCGATTGCATTAAGGGGAACACGCTAACCATATCAACAATAAAGTTTTCCATTAACAAGAAGAAAAAGATTTTAACTCTACATAATCCCATATATATGCGTGATAGAGGACATATATTATGGGGAAATGACATGGATGTAAAGAGAGAATGTAAAGAGGCTAATAAATTAAAATCTGCCGGTTGCTTCTAAGTGGTTAAGGCACTTCGGTTGCACCATAACCTGCAAAAATTGGGGGACTTAATACGCGATACATGTGCCGAATAGAAAGAGTAAAGGAATGAAATTAATAATGCTACAACTAACAAACGAGATAAACCTTTAACAATAATAATAACACAGAATCATTGGAGCACTTAAAATAACCACTTTCTAAAACTAGATGCAGGTAGGTGTCGAACCCAGAGCCAAAGAATCAGAAAATGGGAAGGCAAAAAACTGGGTAACTAGGGTTATCTATAAAAGTTGGATCATTTTTTCAGCTAAGGTAGAGAGAGGATACAAATAAAAAGAAAGGCTCACTGGGAAAATATAAAAACAGTCCCAAATGAAACAATATTAATCACCTCATTTTCAAGATAAAGCTACGTTACTTTCATAAAGTTATTAATAAATTTTATAAAAAAAACAATGAATAACATTTCAAGAAATAAAATATTAAGAATTGCAAAATGCCAACCTTCTTTACCATGGAGGAAAACTGAAAGACTCAAATTTAGTAAAAAATGAAAAAATAACTTACGAAAACAAACCAGGAAGTCCTTCATTGACATTAATTTCAACAAGGGATTGAAGAATGCTGCTGTATGTAGTCTCGTTTCCGACCAACTGAGCTATTTGCCTAATCATAATGACTAAAAAGTAAATAGGTCAATTATAAATATTTATTATTTACCTTGGAAAGGATAGCTAACGAAGAGGCCTAAGCATCGAGCAGCGGTCAATTTGGCGGTCTAGAAATTAATAATAGGCAAAATGTAGCGCCAATTAAAAATTGTGATGGTAACTAGAGAAGAAAGCCACTATTACCTCCTTGAGGAAGACATCCACTCCAAGCTCTGTTTCAATTACACTTTTCTTATATATGTAACCCGTGACATGTTGCTACGCAAAAATAAATACTCAAACAATCCCATACGAAATAGGAATTTATTAGATAAGTTTTTAAATCAACCTTTAGGTAGTACTCAGTCATCATTGATTTTAAAGCTGCACCGATAACAGACGCGGGAAGGCCGACGGTAAACAATCTGTAGGGACCAACTTCTTCCCTTAGATGTCCAACTATAAAGCAAAATTAAGTAACGAACATGAACTTACGATAGTTGAACACATTGGGATACATATATCTTTGAACTCCGAATATATTTCTTCCAAGTCTAGGTTGCTCGAATTCATGACCAAGCTAGATAAAGAAAATATTTGAGAAATGTACACCAAACATACCATCATAAGTGTTCGAGCTGTCACAAATGGGTGACAAAATGTTGATAGAGCTGTGGGAATCATATAATCATAGCAAAATTTGGTAACGGAACCACCGCTTATGGAAATAGGGTAATCCATCCCGGGCTAATTTTGAGGAATATGAATTCACGGATTAGTCTTATACCTGACCTTCAAGTCCAAAAGATAATCTAAAATTAACTTATACATTTATATTGCCATTCAGATAAACGGTAATAAGTGAAGTATGAAATTCCTTATCGTCTCAGTTGAAGTTAAAATAGGTTATTTTAATTTAATTTTGTTTATACTGTATTTTTGGCATTTAGGAAACGAATTTTTGTTAAATCATTACTTTCAATGAAAATATATAACTTGTACATTAATTTAAATCTTAATCGCACCCTCAAGTTCGACTATTTCTCTCATCTAAAGCTTTTTCCCTCCTTGCCTCTACTTATTTTTCTTCCTATAATTTATAATCGTGCCTCAAGTCATTGCAATTTAAAGGTCATTAATGAGGATTTTAGATTTTTTAGGTATATTTTTGCATAAAATCTATGCTGAAGCATTTATCGAATTTTATTTGTTAAATTTTGCTTTTTCGTATTGGTAAGTCATCATTCTTGAACTGTCTGCAACTTGATGGAATTCACACTTTTAAATGGCTACTTAAGTTGTAATTTTTTTCTTGGCGTAACTCAATCATTTCATTTAGTAATTTTTCGCTGAATAAGTCAAAGTATTTCCTTTGCTTAGACCTGATAGATTATACATACTAACCAGTAAATTTTAATTCTTGCCTGCCCACTTCATTTTCGAAATCTCCGGGCTCTCTCCCGAACGCGACTCAACTTCCTCTTCCACTTTTCTTTTATTGATTCCGCTTTTTCATAAGTAGCGCAATTATCTTAGCATTATCTTTGTTCTACTTTGATCGAAGCACCTCATAAGTTAGAGGGGTAATAGCTTAGACTGATCATTTACTTCCAGCCTAACATCCTTAATTATTTCTCTTTTCCACTATCCACTAAACCACCGACAATATAAATACCATCATAGCACTTAATTAGATTCCTTATTCTACTTTCTGATGTGCACAGTTGGGACCGAAATGTAACACAACCCCCCACCCTCCATAACCGTTCTGTTAGCAGTAATACACTATGATTCAATAGTTTCTGTGAAGTTAGGTCCATGGAACCCCACTCGGCTACCGATGAGACAGCAATCTATCCTATTGTTAGGACAACGATCGACCAAGTTTAGAAGAAACGAGTTTACAGACTAACTAGATACTTAACTCAATTATTTAAATGCTAGAACCTCCTTAATTACGAAACTAGCGGTAGGAAACGGCCGTCAATTTTTTCACACATTCTAAGCCTAAAGAGCTCTTAAGACGAATTACTATATTTTTCAATTAAAACAAAAAATAACTCTAGAGAAAAGCACTGTAATTCGATTTCAAAACGGCTACACAAGCATTAAATAATCAAGTTAATGGTAAGGAACAGGAATTTGAGATTGGGAAAAACTTCTCATTACTCCAAACGCCGTTTAACCTCGTGGTAAATACAATAGAAAATTGCATTTACAAATCGGATGAAACCTGTGTCCATGGGCTTATCTAAGCCTCTAAATAGACTGTTCTTCATCACTTGAACGAATTCTTTGTAGCTCAATTGACCATCACCTAAAAAAAGACAGGTTGACGATAAGTTCCTCTAAATAAAAGGTTGGCAATTACCGTTTTCGTCAAACAGTGTGAAGACAACATCCACAAGATGAGGCGTCAATTTAACGTTAGCAACAACTTTTGCAACATGAAGGAAAGTTGCCTGGTCAATGGCTGCTCCAGCTAGCGTGTGGAATGTCAGAGCTGTATCTAACTCTGAAACTGATCTCAGAAGATGTGTGAAATCCAGGAACTCCTTGAACGTTATGCCCTAAAGTGTACAAGATAGAATTTATATATACATATCAACTACTTATAACCAATCAAGTAGGAACTGATTAAGCTCAAAACTTACCACAGAAGTCTCTTCATCATTTTCCGGGTAACTTTTCTTCACTCTACGAAGCATCAATCGCCGTTTGTTCTCGGAGAAGCCTGCATACGTCAGAAGAGATTTTGCAAAAGCAACTTCAGTTATTCGGCCGCCTTCCGGTTCATAGCGATCGAACTGGTTGAAAGAGAAAGCATATATGATGTTGAACAACGACACTAGTTAAGAGAGTTCTACTGGCATGCAAGTAATGGATGTAGCATGCTTGAAGATAATTCGTGCAAAACATTCATGTGGCTTCAAGGAATTTGGATGCTGAAAAATTTCTGGTGAAATAAAAGCGATTTGCAGCTAGCAAACGAGATGACATGCAGAAATCGAAGAGCTTCCTTAGACGTACATATCTGCTCAATTTAATGAGTTAATTATTAATTAGGTAGAATTTTGTGCAGTAGCGTTACTAAATACTGGAATATAAACCTACATTAATAGTGAATCTAACCCACTAAATTGACTTATACTCAATGAAAGATGCGTCATCGGTGATAAACATATTCACTTTGGAAGGCCAAGAACACAGGCTGGATGGTCATCAATGAACACCCAGTGGCCCAAACGCCTAACAACACTGACTAAGTCCTCGTGGGAAATAATTTGAATTTCTTTCCATGGTGGCTCTTTAAAGTTACCACTTTATCCACCATAAGGATTGAAACCAAAAACGATTTGCTAAACGACCTTCAGAGTTTGTGGTAACTATCTCTCATGAACCCAACATGCGACCTCCGGCACCTCTCCTATCATACTTGCCGTAATCACTTGTTAAAAACTCCGAGGTAGCCCCTCTACGAATGAACAGCACAAAACTATATTGCTCTCTCCCCACTCTGTTGCGTGGGAGGAAGAGATACTAGCTGTTCGCCTCTTGGGATATTCGAATAAATCAATCCAGGTGTGAGCTATTCAGGCGAGCATGCACGTAGACTCGGAGAAGGGAGGTGTGGAAGGTGTCACATAGCATGAACTTACCCGGGTATCTTGCTTCAATCGATTGAACTGAGGGAAGGATAAATGCGGTTAGGAGGCTTCTGACAAAACACGCGGCAAATGGAGAGAGAGAGGGAAAATGGCAGCAGAATTGACTTAAGTAGTTCAAACATTTACCTGAAGGCAAACGCGCCTAACCCCTCCCCCCACCCCATCCACTATCATTTATTTTAAGTCCAACTTAAATGTCCTCGGGGGGGGGGGGGGGGGGGGGGGGGGGTTAAGTTAAAGTTGCAGAAGTTAATAGCGGAATAATTATCTCTCAATGAATGTGCGGAGAGACTGTTTACAGATGATCACAATTTCGCATAGAATGTAGCAATAGAATTTTATATTACAAGCAAAGTATGCAAACTAATGTGACGTATGGACCATTATAAGAGTAGGGATTTTGAACAACTAATGAGAAACAATATTCACGTGATGGATGGGTGGATGGATGGATGAACAGGTGTGTAATGGAATTGATCCAATTTTACAGGCTATATATATAATCTGATTCACTTTTAAGTGATCCAAATTATATTACTACCACGATTACTCAATGAGACACTTTGAGTGGAATTAGACGGACAACCCACTTCCAGCTGAGTAATTTCCTGCTGCAACTTGGCTTGGAAATCAAGGAACTTGGCGATTTTCAATTTTTCCTTGCCGTCGGGTCCAAAGAAGTAATCATGAAGAGCGCTCTGATTGACGGATTTAAGGGTGTTGCCAGTGGTAGCGTGATCTCTGTGACGACGGCCCATGGCTGTGGTGTCGAGAATTACGCCTCGAACCTGTTTAATAAGAAAGGACAAAACGGATTAATCCACATGGGGCTAGTAGCTTAACTGGGTGCGAGCTCAAAGCGTCTATTGAATTCATACAGAAAATGGTAATAAACACCTTCTATCACGTTTTTTTTTCTAGGCTCATCTCGAGTTGGAGGTGGTAGTACTAGGTTTCCTTGAAGGGAAACCCGAGTGCTTTCAGAGCTCCTTCATAAGCCCAACTTCACATGTGTAATTGGTCATTCCAATCAGTGGGTGTGCGTCGATGGACATTGAACCTATGACATTTAATTGTCAATAGTGAACGAGTGCCACTTTGGCAACCATAAAATACCTAAATGAGTAGAAATTGACGAAAAGCATGCTCCTTCAATTGGCATCGCTTTAATGCATATGCACAAACTTACTTATTTGCACGCAAATAGTCTTTCCAGCACTCAGGATAAGATACGAAGATAGTAAAACGAAAAAAGGGGGCATCTTTTTCAGGAATTTACCTTAGAGCCATCTCTTCGAAATAATGAAGATACTAGCACCAATGCTGGCAGCGTATGTGAGAATCGTTTGAATTATTGTTGAGATATCTAGCTACCTGAGTGTCATTTAACAACAGAAATTGTACTTTCAATGTAGAATGGATAACGACAGAAAGCCAGAGATACTGGGAAGCAAGAAGACAGCTAATGAACTGCTATTAATTAACTGCTATAAATATACCCACCACCCTTGGGGGAAGCTGAAGTCAAAGTTTAATGGCCAGTGATAAATATCACAAACCCTGCCATTTGAAATAATAATAACATATACTAATAATTTAATCTTATCCAGTCGAAATGAGGAGAGGGATTTCAATATCTAATTCGACTATTGCCTATCCTCGCCAAGAGCATTCGCCGGTGAAAAAAAGATATACCTTGCTGACCAATTACAAACCCATAAATGCAAACAAAAAAACCTTGTTTGCATTTCTGCGTTCGGACACCAAATCCTGCAAACTTGGCACACCCGAAAATTTCGGCAAAAGTGACTTGGAGATGAATAAAGGAAAGTGCTATTCCTGTTCTACACGCACTCAGAGAGAGAGAGAGCGAGAATGTTCTCTCGTGTACTATTGATTTTTTTTCCCAGTAAAGATCTTCGACCAAATCTCGACTTCGAAAAGACAAAAAAATGCAAAAGAGAGTTTCGCGGTCATGATATCAGTGCCCCCACCCCCTTGGTACTCAAAAATTTTACCATAAACAAAACTTTATTCCTACAATCCACTCTAGAAATGTCCAACAACACATACACCCTAATTTAAGGGATTTGTTTCAGAACTAACCAACGAAATTGAATATTAAAAAAAAATAACACACGATAGACATCCACAAACACTTGGAATAAACTATACACAGTCCCCCCCCCCCCTTTGAAGTGCTTTATACCGTGCTCGGACCTTGACCCTAAGAGAGAGAGAGACAGAGAGAGAGTAAGCTCTGACGACGAGCTCAAACATATAACAAATTTATTCGCTTATATGCGTCAATTAAAGCACATAAAGACTAAAACACACAGAGCGCAGCAGTTCAAGTATGTTTCGCTAATTATAGCTGGTAGATTCACCTCTTGATCGTGCAAACAGCCACAAACTTGTGGAGCAAAATCCAACCATATTTATCGTGCAAACAGGATACAAAATTTAGCAGACATAAATGCACCAAGTCACCATATTCATCACAACATCGCAAAAAAAAACAAACTACTTAGTGGCCTCATAGAAGGAATAGTGCAAAGTAAGTCTTCCAACAACCTCTTCCACAGCTTGGAGTTCAATACCCATTTTACATAAGAAATAAAGAGAAGAGATCTGCATTGAGTCAATACCTAGGGTATAGATCAAATATTTTAAAGTATTAACGAATCCTTGACCCACCACATCAAATTCATCAGCATCCAATTCACCGTCTCCGTTGATATCGAACATACGGAAGGCGATTTCAAACTGTCTTCTAGGGGCTAGAGAAGAAGAAGAAGCAAAAGGCGCGATAAAAACTCTCTCTAGACGTTAATTCAATGACTGAACAAAGAAGGTGAGACTTACTGGAGATCACCGTGAGAAGGAAAACAAAATCAGTGAATGATATGAGAGCATTATTGCCGAGGTAGTAGAAGACAGAGTCCTTGGGGATGTCGAAATCTAGTTTATCTCTCTAAAAAAAAGAAAAAGAACACTTTAACTCAGTTAGCTTATGCGCTCAACATGTGGTATACCCTGGCTAACGTATACTCATACAGTAAAAAAGGTCTACAAACCGGCAGTTGACTTCCCAATTCAAACGACCATCATCCCACTGTATGTCATATTCGATTACTTCCACAGTACTCACCTAATCCGCTTATCTACCCTTGGACTTTTTTTCACTTTGATGTTCCCCCCCCCCCTCTGTGAAGCCTGAAGTCAACTAAAGGGCTAATGATAACTATCGAAGCAAACAGGTCACCTTTTAAAATGGCAGAAAGTACAAAATCTCCATCAAACTAGAGAGATGTGTTAATCAAGTGAATTATTAAAATAGTTGCTCAATCCCCTAACAAAATAAAAAAAACATTTAGCTCAGAAAGAGGGGGGGGGGGGGAATATAGCACCTTAGATATCCTAATAAGATGCCAACAACTTCGAGGCAGAGACCAGTCTTAATTCGAGCGATAAGGGACAGGGAGTAGGCGTGATCAATAGTCAATTAGCGTTAGTGCAGAGGGAATCAGGTACTAGAGAAACGGAGTACGGCAAGACCTTAGCCTTTTTTTTAAAAATTGTACCCAACCGCACTCACGCGTGTCCCACATCAGACTGATGCCACCGATATGATAAGTTTTGGTGGTATCAGGCGACGGCTATAGATGAAATGAGCATGCTTCAAACAGCGATAGCACCTTACGTTACGAGTCTAGTACCAATGAAGAGCACCGTGCGATCCTGCAGGGCGTTAAAGGATTAAATGCGCTGAAAGACTGGTCTGATGCAGAGTGGTTATTCATACAAAAAGAGGGTTAATAACAGTAAACGAGCACGCACCCAAACTAGAACGCTCCCGAGTGTTTTAAAAGATAAGAGGAAATATTAAGGCCGCTTGACTAGGAAAAAGTGAAATGAAATGGAGTATTCTTAAAGTTGCTTAGAACAACACAATCCAAGGAAAATAAAATAAAGTAGAGAAAAAAATGATGGGAGGGCTGAGACAGCAACAACAGAATCAACTTGGAAACTAGTAAACATTTATTTGAAGGAGGAATAAATAGGGATAGTAAAGTGTCCGCGTCACATTAAGCGGAATGGAACATTTTACTCTTAACATTACATAACACTTAGGGAGGCGTCCGAGATCTTTTGGCCAAAGCGGGCATACAGATCCCTTCTTTCGCTCACTCAATCATTCGATTATCAATTCAGCTGATATTAAACATACATGCTCTAAGCTGATCGATAGTTCAGTGCATTCAGAAATCACAGGAATATACACAGACCCATATTCGTCGACCCACCTTCCTATACAGAAACATTTACCCTTTTTCGGGGACTCAGATTATACTCCATGATTAAAACTTACGGAAACACGTGTAATAGTGAGTAATGATACTTAAACAGCAATAATAATTCCAATAACTACATGCTTACAGAACCGATTCAAAGACAATGTGCATTTGCACAAGGGTCTTGATTTCAAAGTACTCACCTTTGGATCAAATCGAATGAAAGAATCAAGGTCCAGACCATCAGGCTGCTTCAAGCCGGGAGTGATGGCTCGCAGAAAGTCGTCCGGAGTCATGAAGACCTCCGAGGAGCCATCCTCTTCAACTCGCTTCAGAGTAGCGAAGTAGCGGAATATCTTGTCAGGAGTCGAATAGGCGCGAATTCGATCCTCGTAGGCAATGAACTGCAATAAGAATTGGTTATTTTACCTGGATATCAGAGCCGGTGAACTATCCAATACGAAGATACAACTTAATGAGATTTTTATATATATAAAAACAGCTAGGAGCATCTTCACCTTCATGATATGACAAGTAACTCATACAAATTTCATTCACTTTGCTAAGATACTGCAAAAAAAAACAATAAGTAAGCTTTCCAAACATATTTTTTAAGAAGAGACAAATGAATTGAGAATTGTAGACTTGACTCATGAAAACCAAATAAAAATTAAAGAAAATATAGCCAAACATACATGGCAATATCCGTACTGTTACACTACTTAAATAAACTCCAAGACCAGGTGACGTGTTCAAGTAAAAAAGAGTGAGAAAAATCATTTCAGCAAGAATAGAAAGGGTAATTCATGAAACAGACGAATAACAACTCGATAGTTGTCAACATTAAAGTCTGAATTGTTTAAAGATAGACAATTATGGCATCGTATTTGAATAAATAATAATGATGTACAATGGTCAAGCATAAAAAATAGTAAAATGGTAACATAACTAAAAATATAACGAGCCATTTTACCTTACGAGTTCGGAAAGTATTCTTCGGTTTGGTTTTTAAGTCACCTTCGCAGTCGTTAGCATCATCGGACTCCTCTTTGAAGGAGGAGACTGACTGACAACTGACCTTCTTAGGAGGCGATTTATCTTTAGTGTCCTTTTTGAAAAATGAATCCATCTTTTCTTGCAGACGATCAATTCTAGCAGATTTGAGAAACAAGTTAAGATTTTACCCATCATAATGAACGAAGAGAAATCCGCCAGCAATGAAAATACTCATGAAATAGTACCCCTTTGGAAGCGATTTTGGATATCCATTTTCAAAATGGGTATATCTATTCCGATAACTTTGACTGTAACGGATAGACAGGTGTGTGACTTGGGAGGATGCACAAAATACGTGTCGATTCAATGCAGACCTATAAGGTATTCTAATAGCAATCTGTCGCAGCTCAGATAGCATGATTTAAGCAAAGATAAATAAACAACTTCAAAAAGAAGTATAGGGGAAATCAAAAATGACAAGAAAGTAATCCGGCGTTCGACCGGCCAGAATTAACACTTCTTTAAGCACTATTGACCTTGATAGTAAAAATCGCAAGGTCCAATTTAGGAAAATTAATGTTCTTTCCAATAATTAAAAATTTGATCAGTTCTCCTATCTTTAAATATATGTAATCAATATTACTCATCTACTTACATGAAGTTTAAAAATTAAACGAAATGTTTTCTTTTGTCATTGATCGAAATATTACTCAAATATATAGAAAAAATTTGAGACTTTGGATATATAACTTTTCACTGAAAGACGACAAATTTATTGTTTTGCAGTATAAGTTATTCACACTTATTATATGAAATGTATTACACCAATCATGTCAAATTCTTCCCATTCTTTTAAATTAATGTTCTATAAAAAATATTTCATTGATTAATTACAACTTTAGGTAATATTTTTTTAAAACATACTATCTAATTCAAAAGGGCAATTTTACGATAATTATTATTTATGCTGTAGGATCACATCTAGCTTATTCTTATTTGACACTGCATTTCCTCTTAATTGCTATCAGGGGGCGGGGTGCGCGATAGGCTTACCTCCATGTGGTGCACTCTGGGCAACATATTCTCATACGGAAAAAAGTCTATTAACCGGCAGTTGACTTCTAACTTCAAATTACCATCACCCCACTATATGTCATATTTGACTACTTTCACCTTTTTTCTACCTTTGTGTCTGTCTCTTTTGCATCTTTGAAACACTCTTTCCTCCCCCACCCCCATCGACTTTTTTCCCTTCGATGTTCCTTCCCCTCTGTGAAGCCTGATATCAACTAAAGGGCTAATGATAACCATCAAACGCCTGCCATTTAATATAAATAAATAAATAACTATCAAGGCGCAGTTACACACTAAAACTCGGCAGCCAATTTATCTAAAAGAGCTTACTTTTTTAGTTTAAGTAAATATTCGAATTCCTATATCAAATAAATACATATTAAGCTTCCTGCTAATTCTGGACATTAAGTGTCAAACAAACACCGCAATGGCGTCACTTTGTCCCGGTTCACCATTCTATCAATGAAGCTCCTTTTCTTATGAGTTCGCTAATATATTTCTGTTATTCCAAACTTTTTATAACTTTCCTCCTCACACCCACACATCCAGCACTTTTTCAGCTAAATGGCGATTGCCAATACTATAACATTTCATGATAATTATCGTCTCAGTAAAAAGTTTGCAGAACAATGCAATCTTGTAATACTACTTAATACAAGACCGTTAACTCAAATCAGAACTCAATTCTACCAATAGCGATAGTGTGTATAGCAACGAATATAACAACTGATCGGCATAGGCACAATCAAATATGCGCTAGTACAAAGTGTCTTTCATCAGTTATAAAATTGAATCGACGTTTATGAAAGGTTTATTTAACGAAAATGTATTAACTATACGAGCAATTAATTTTTGGTATGCTCTGTGTAATAGTTGATTCTCGCCGCATTTATTCCTCAGATTTAGGAATCCGAATCACTTAATTTTGGCGCTACTAACTTAGATTACAACATCCATTTTCGACATTATTATCTTACCTTGAGTTACCATGCTATTGCATGAACTTGTTATCGTTAAAACTATTGACAAATCAATTAATCAGTCGTTTTTGAAATGTCTAAATCAAAGCTCATAAAGTCACTTTCTTAATGAAATGAAAGAATTCTCAGTTGGCTCTACATATTTTTTTTTCATTTTTCCATTTGCACGCACTTTGAGTTAACATATTGTGTTCAATTTCGTATAGTTAACATTGTATTCTAGCCATTCTCGAGGCGCGATAGACGATTATCTCCTATCTCATTGGCTAACAATTTCAAGTGGCCTTCATATACACTGCTTTTACTGACCGCATATTTTTTGCATTTTTATTATTTTATCAAAGTTTCCCTTTAATAAAATTGACAAATCTCAAATATTACAAGCATCTGTATAAGTGGAACAACTTTCAGTCCGATAAGAGAGGCGAAGTGGGAGTTGGGTATTAAAGTCGGGCTATTAGTTCAAATAACTTTAACATTAAGGTAATGGAGAGTCTACTTTCCTATGAGGGATATAGTTCACCAAGGCGAAATTTCAAGATTTAACTTACCTCCACGTGGTGCACCCTGGTCAAGGTATACTTATACGGCAAAAAGTCCATAAACTGGCAGTTAACTTCTGATTTTGAACTACCATGACCACACTGTATGTCATATTCGATCACTTTCACAGTACTCACCTCACCTTTTTATCTACCGTTGTGTCTGTCGGCTCTTTTACATCTGCGGATCACTCTTCTGTTCCCCCTCTCTACTTTTTGGGACTTTGGTGCTCCTCCTCTCTGTGAAGTCCGAAGTCAACTAAAGGGGCTTATGATAACTACCAAAACGTCTGCAAATTGAAATAAATAGATAGATAAACTAAAGGATTCAATGATGAGTTATATCTAAAGCATTTCCTGCTCATCAATCCGCTTGAATGGATGCGTTTTGCCCACTGAGATTTCTACGTTTATATTTTAAGCACTTAACATTAATTTTGATGTGAATGAATGATAATAACCTCTATCCTTGAGTTTTATTATTTACGCAGCATAACAATATACTACTTTTCCTCATACTAAGTTATCAAACCCCTTTCCATCATTACAGTTTACTCCCTTTACAAAAATCGCTCAATTTCATTTGAATTAGACGAAATAAGTAAATAGTATGAAGCCGAATGCTTGGAACGCCTCAAATTCTTTAATTTCACATGAAATCTCTCTGTCCGGAAGACCTTTCGCTTATTGCCATGACTAACTCATCATCTTCTTTGCCAACACATTCCATTTGGGTCATCGTCGTCCTCGATGGCGCCCTCTGACTCGACACATTCAGTAGTAGGGGTTAATAGCCACACTTCGGGTAAATATTTTCTCTCCCAACTCCTCTTCATCATCATCACCATCATCATCATGAGATTAACCAGGCGCATAAATTTGTACCCGCTTCTGTTGGCCTCAATAGTGTTTCAAATGGTATTTACTTCATAGTCACAATGACACGGAAAAAAGGCAAATTTTTCTTATTGAAACGAAATTACGCCAGCCAGCATCCTTAACATTTTTGGCGTATTTTACCAATTGCTCCTTGGATAAGATTATCCCTTTTATTCGAGAGATTTATAATTAGGTCACACTGGAAAAATATAAATAATTTTAACATGAAAAAGCGTGAAGAACATATTTTATCTAAAGTTTTATTTGAAAATAAATTATACCTAACAATTCACCCGAAGTTTATAGGCCTGTGATATCGTGTTGAGTTATATTATTAAGGAAAATTTATCTATATTTCAAAGGAAAGAGCATCATAAGTACTGGATGACTTTATAGCGGATTGCTACGCAAGTAAAGCCTAACTGACTCAGAAATCTCTATGGCAGATTCTCCAACATCTAGCTAGACTCCCAGAACCAGCTAAGCCATAGCTCAGCTATCAAGGAAACAGACGTGTAGCACGGAGCACGTTTATTCAGTACGGGTATTGTGGATCAAGTGTGTACACGCAGGGGGATACTCATAATCAGGATGGGGGATTAGGTTAAACAGAGGTTAATGATTGGTCATTGTTTGTACGGTCGCTGCACACAGAGTTGTACGGCCGCACCTAACAATCCTGGAGAGCAGACATGCAGGCATACGATGACGCACAGAGCGATAACGTGTCCCACAACTTAAATTAATTGACACTTAGCATTTTAA